GGCTTCAACTAATCACTGCTAATTACAACTTGTTCTCGCTGCTAACTACAACATGTTCTCGATGCTAATTACCTCGACATCAAAGGGCTTCTTGATTTGAGTTTGTCTGACTGTTGCAGATCACATCAAAGACAAGCATCCTGAGAAAATTCCCAAGATTTTCAACATTGAGAACGATTACACCCGAAGAAGATGGATTAAACTAATCCTTTTAAGCAACTTGCAATATGAAAACCTCACTGAACAACACTATATCAACAAGCACGAGCAACGAGCTTTACATGATCAACTATCTAGATGAGACATGTGGCAAATTCTATGGTGTACGATTTTGATGCTTATTTGTGTGATTTGTTCTAAAACGTACGGTGGTGATTGTGTGTTTGAGTTTGTTTTTGTAATTTTTGAATTGGAGATCGTTAATGAAATTTTATTTATTTAAAAGAGGGATAAATATGTAAGGTTTAGCCTATTTTCTTAATTATAAAAGATATGGCCTATTTTCTCAATTTTAATTCTCTTTTGGATTATTTTTATAATTTTCCCAAAAAAAAAACACATACTATCCATGCTTGAGCTTTTGATTTAATGTTGATAAAGATATTATCACGATGTATAACCGATAGTTTAGTGTGCGGTTTGAATTGATAAACATTTAGTTAGTTGAGTTGTTTCTTAATTATGCTTTTTAAGTATTGTGATTCATCTCCTTTTCTCGTTTCTGATTTACAATTTGATATAATTCGTGCGAGTTTGTACCGTAAAGATTGTTAATCCAATATGAAATGCATTAGGCTTAGAGTGACGGAGAAAAATATGCTGTTGTTGTGAACACGTGTTTTGTTTCAGATGGTATTTAATTTTGTTGACCTGATAGTGAAAAGCTTAAAAATGTACGTTGTACAGTTAGTGTATTGCCTCTATCATGTGTCACGTAAAATATCAATGGAGAACTAAATGCATGCCAACTTTATTTCCTCAAGTTCGTCATTAAATGATCCCTTCATGGTTCCTACTTTTGATAATACGATATGCTCTTGAAGCCATCCTATTTGTATTATTGTCTCATCATTTTCGATACAATATTGTCGAAAGTATATGTATGTATGGGTGGTGGTTGTGAAAATCCCAATTTGAATAACTACATTTTCCAACTAAATTAAGGATAGTAGATGCAGAGAAGTTGGACAAAGTATGAAATTGTAGGTGGTGTAGATCATTCGTGATTGCTCTTATTAGTAAAGATTGACTCAACTAACACATTATATTTTTTATCCACTTACTCTTAAAAGCTCGACACATTTGGAAGTCTAGCATTGGATAAATTTGTATTACTACTGTTTTAGTAAACTCTGCTAGTTATGTTACGTATATAGATTAAACTATTTTTATCTATGTAATTTAGTAATTTATAATAATACTACCGTCCAGTGTATTGTAAATTTGACCTAAGCATGCTTTTTTTTGTTTTTTTTTGGGTCAAAACGACCTAAGCATGCTAAAATGTATAAACATGCAAATTTTGGTGAGATATCTAAAAATGATCAGAACATGATTATAGGTGGATAATAAAAGTAAATATAATGAGTTTTTAACAATTAAACCCATTTAATTAAATCAAAACCTATATTTGAGTTTCTAAATGTAGGATCTATATTACTCATATTTAATGGAGTAATTATACATCTATCTCTCTCTTTTTCTCTTTCTTCATCAATCCCAATACAATTAATATTATAAAATTCATATATTTATCTCAACATATTTACTACCTATAATCATGCTCTGAGATTTGTAGATCAGAGATTTTGGTTCTACAAAAACGTTTACGTATAAATGCTTTCTCCATGACGGTAATTAAGACCGTAAGAGTAAGAGAATTATTTTCAAGATATATGTAAAATCTTTGGATTGTGTACAAACAACTTTATATTAAAATAAGATTGTTAATGCATCAAGAGTGTGTGAAAAAGATAGGATATACATGTAAAGTTGACTCAATCCATGACAATTTGACACCCTATAGACCTTCTTGGAATATTTTTGATTTTCTTGATGATGTTACCAAAACTCGCACTTAACTTCAATTCCTTGAGGATTGCACAATTTCTCATAAAGTAATTTGCTAGTTTCATCGTACTTGATGTCGTTGTGACTGTGACTGGTGTTTTCAGCTGAAAAAACTCAAGAGATGATATGAAACATCGCGGCACCGATGAAAGTTTCACTGGCTTCGTCTCTGTAGTGACGCTCTTGCATTCATGAAATTCCTGATA